AACTACGACATCCTCCCCCAAAATCGTAAAATATTATATAACAAATTACTTAACATTTGCGCTCGCCTTGTCCAGTACTCACTCCTGTTCTGCTCATAAAAATGCTTCTACACTCATACCCGCGAACATGCAGTATTGTTTCTTATCTTGTTTCGGCATCATGTTACCTTTCAATTCTTTTCTTTTGCTTTGGACTACCGCACTTCGTCATCGTGCTATAGTTGCGTGTGCCTTTGCGTGAGAGCGGCGATGGAAAAGCCCGTGGGAGTTTCACAGCAACACGTTCAACGATCGAGGAAGCTTCGAAATCGTCCTGATTCATGTCTTCTCTGTGAAAATTGAATGAAAAGCACATGAGAGGTTCTCACTGATTAGCATTTGTTGCAGAAAGCGAAGGCTCGTCACGTTTTTCTGAGAACACATCAAATTCATGCTTATTTTTCAAAATTCTCTTCAGCTGTGTTGGGAACTAATTAGGGAAACCTAAAAAAACTGGAAACCTAAACAAAACAATCTTCTGGGTTCTTGACTTTACTCAGTCCTGAGGGTCTAAGCCACCATAGCTGCTTGGACATTATAAGTCTGCTGCTGAGGCCTTCAGTCGAGCGATTCAGTCGCCGACTATGAACCACCTGTCGGGTCCATAGTCGGCGATGAATCTTTTCGACTCAATCCTGCGCACTTAAAGCAACAGTCCAGGCAGGGTTTCAACTACTTGGTCATTAGGCGGTCAAAACATGCCCCAGCCCAACTAAAGTTTATAGGAAATGTCTTTAATTTCAAAACCTACCTCTAAAATGCGCTGGAAGGGGTCGAAGTCCTCTTGGAGGGGGCGGATCACCCATAAAGAGGCGGATCGCCCAACATACGCTGTGCAGAGTCCGCGCTTGACTAGCGGTCGTTGCGGGACCGCCGCGCTGTATGAGGTCGATTCCATAAGAACGCAATTGAAGCGCTTCAATTTCGATTGCTGGCAAGTAGTTATGTATTTGCAAGCATGCAGCTATTTGCCAGCAGTTGCAATTAAAGCGCATGTACTACGGGCAGGTTCGGACAACTCGTCCAACACACGTCTCCCTAAACGGCAGGGCATGTCCCTGTCTAAGCCCCAGTTGGGCGTTTTCTTCACTTTTTCTCTTTACGTTCGACCACTTTTCACCTACAACTTCCATATAGGTGCTTTTGGCCCGCAAATTCGTTCCTGGACTGTTGCTTTAAATAAATGGATACGAAGTTATTACGGCGTGGGTCCATAGAGCGTGTTCAAAGTTGGAAACCCCACTTCGTCGTTCCAGAGACTGGATCTCATGGTCAACAGTCCCTCGAAACTTTAACTTAGAGCACATTTGGTGAGCATTTTTGCAGGTCGAGCAAGGTGTTATCTATTCAAGCTAATCATTTGTGATCATAAGTAGTTGAACAAACACGTAAAAGGCCAAGACGGAACTGCTGCGGGAGCTCAATACCTTCTAGGGATGCTCAGTGTTTCCATTTTCTGAACAGGATGGTAGTTGTGTTTTGGCTGTACTGGCTAATGGAGCCTGCCGACCAAAGCACAGTCAGTTAGTTCTATCTTCTCAAACGAGTAGGTTACCAACAAACCGACTTAGGTATTATCTAGCCTTCGGTGCTAAAAAGGATTTGAATCTACAATGAGCTTAACACTGTAGCGGAATCTCCACTTTGTAAACTGTTCATTTCTGAACATATATTAGAGATCTGGAATAAGAGATAGGGAAGCATTTAGCATGGCTACTGCGGCACGATGACAGAGAATGGCATTTGTGTAACGTCCAAACAGCATTGAATAGTGGTGTAGTGGCAAGTGACTGATTACAACGGGAAACGAATATTCTTATTTTAATCTCGATCTTACGTCGTCCGGCCTCACCAGCTTCCATCCCGCCGGCTGGATACGCAGATATTCTAGGAAGTAAGAGGCTTTGACTTGCACAATCATCTCACTCCCACAAGTCGCCCATAATGGCCAATCGTATTCAACTAATGCAACCATACTCTTAAAGAGTGAAAGGAATGTGTGGCACACTCCAAAAAATTTGTCGATCCAACCCAGAATGCTTCCACTTTCTCTACACCGTAAACGCCTGGAGTGAAGGCGGTTTCCCACAACATTACCTTCATAATCCTGTTCAATCTGGTCCTATTTATACTTTTTCTTGCACCTGCAAAACTCCTCTTCACATTTGTTCAATAAGAACGCTAACTTTCTTGCCTGCTTTGATCGTGTTCTGTTTCATATAGTCTCCAACTGATGTTCTAGAGAATGCTAGAAACTCAAGAATACTTTGTGAAAGAATCACAAGTGTATGTTCCATTTGAGACACCTACATAGGGTGAATTCCAGTAAGGGGTTGGGCATGCAGTTAGAGAGCGCTCAACGTGTTTGAAACCAGGGAATATGCTCCCAGTGTAAAGGTCTGGGCCCAGCCCTTGAGAGGAACACTCACAGGCGTTTGTGACTAGTTTTGTACTCACCTACATTTTAACATGACAAGGTTGTCGATATGGTAAGACCGCCCTTAGGGTGTGGTTCACTAGGACAGAAAGCGACTTTTCGCGTTTCGCAGCGCAAAACATTTTTCGCTGCGGGAACCTCTGGTCCACTGCTGATCAGCGGTGGACCTGAGGTTCCCGCAGCGAAAAAATGTTTCGCGCTGTGAAACGCGAAAAAGTCGCTTTCTATCTGAGCGAACTACACCCGCCGTCTATAAGTACTGAGATTTCGCGCTCCATCCTAAACAATGAGCGAGTGCGATCCAACAGACGTATTTATTCGCTGTTTAGAGCTTGATAATCGTTTTATACCTGTTAGCCAATTGTTTTGTCCAACAAGGCTACAAACGACAAAGTTTCCGCTTGCGTTTTACGGCTTTCTTCGTTTCACTTTTTTTTATTTTTATTTTTTTAGGTTCTGCACGTTATTTGCCTCAAAGCTTGGAACTCTGTCGCATTCTCGGTCCTGTAATCGCTTATGAGTTCTGTGCTGTACCTTGAATGTTTCGTTAAAAGCGATTGAGTGTTGACCTGTTAGCGGATTTGGTTATAAGGTTTCTATCAGTTAGTTTGGCGTTGGTTTCCAACTCTGTTATGCAAATTCCTGGTTGATAAGAATGACAGTTGTGAAGTAGTTGAAATAAGAATCCAAGCATCATTCGAGAAATGTTATCTTTTTTTCTTCTGAACGCACCTTTCAAACGAAAAGCGTAAATGAAGACCTTACGCCAAAGGCTGGGACAATTCCTTTGTGTTGAAAAATCACCTCAGCACTTATTGATGCAGCAAATATGCAAAACTGAAATTGCTCAATGGTTCATAGTATAATTGTGTCGTTACATAGTAGAACTTCTTGATCGTTGAAAACGATGAATTTTGTGCGCGAATATCCACACTCGTTGGACTGAGCTGCTGTTTGCTTTTCAAGGCTGTAGTTCGAGCAATGAGTAATTTTATTGCAGGGATCTTCATTGTCACACTGCACTTCCCTTCATTAAGAAATTGAACTACACAGCTAGGCGGGGATGTGGCAGACCCCCCTTTCAGCCGCCATTGCTGCATCTCAGGACAGGCAAATAATAACTTACTGCAGCAGGTTTGTTCTGCGCTTCTTTTTTTTTTTTGTTTTTCTTTTTGGGTTTTTCACTGTCTCTCTTGGCACATTTTTGAACGGAAACTCATTTTCTGGAAAGTTGATGTTGGAGGGTTGATTCGGTTCAAACCACCCCAACGACATATTGGCATTGGCATACCATCATTGTGGACTAGAATAGCTTCGTTCTACAAACTCTTGGATATAGCAGTGGTATCTTTCGTGGCTCCCGTGTCACAAAATAGAGTTGCGCTGTTTAACTCGTATTCTCATGGGAGAGACCATAGCAGGTTTCTTTTTGTTCTCTTAATTCAATTGTCCCATAGTACCTCTCACGCGTTTCTTTAGCGGGGACGCCTTCAATCTCAAACCTGATGTGCGGATTAGATTCTTCTTTTCCCCCTATCTAATCCTGACCTCCGTTGAAACTAGAATAACTTGCCGCTCGCTGTAGTTCCCTTGATTCCGTTAACTTCACTAACTGTTTGCCAGTGATAAGTTTTTTGTTGCTATACCTGACGCCGCTCTTTCGTTTGAGGGCTCCCGAATTACGTCACTCCATCCCCTGTGACTCCTTGCTATTGCCTCCCGCTAGCCATCACTGCTGCATCCTGTATTAAGGAGTGGGAAAGAACGAATAGAGGGCTGTCCCGAAATATTAATAAGTGGTCTACGATTTGAACGTCATCTTTCCTGCTGGAACTGAATTTATAAACAAAGGATTCGCTTCTCGCAACACCTGTGCCATGTTATCTTGCTTATTTAAATCTGTAATCGGAATAATTCAATATTATCAATACCAGCTTGCCGAAAATTGATTTTTCGTCGGAACTTTTCTTTCAGGGGTAATTCAGCCCTTATACGAGTATGACTGTAATTTTTGGCAGTGGCACCATGGGGGGAGGCATTCTGAGCCAATTCGTTGCAAAACACTTTCCCACCAACTCCCCTGCAAACTTGGGGATAGGACGCTACTCCTGTCGTGACACCATATGTGGGCATAAACCTCCTATGCTCTGTAATACAAAACCTTGCAAAAAAAAACCAACCTTTACCGAGTGTGGTATAGTCTGACTTAGCAGCCATTTAACCTCATGGCGTATTCAGATTCGGTGCGTTGCCATCATAACCCGATGGACGATCGCCCAGCATGAAATGCTCGCGATTCGTCAGAATCCGGGGCTGGACGATCAATACGTAATAACGCTGTGCGATCGTTACGATCGGACGACCGACTATGAATGCGTCTTAAGGCTTGTATGACTTCAAAATTGAATCCGCGTAATGATTCTTTTGCGTACAATATGAAAGTTAGGCGAAGTCCAACAGTCAAGTAATTTCACCTGGAAATTCGTTGGCAAACACGAAAAGAAACTAGTCATTTCAGATCTCGATGTTGCAAAATCTTCATAGCCAACATCAGCAGCCTTCCTTTAATTACTTACAAGCAGCAGTAGCGTCAACTCACGCTACTAATCATGCGGTGGTGAAGATAGAGGCGCCGTCAACTCACCCCACTAATCATGGCGTGGTGAAGCTAGAGGCGTCCGATCGTCGTATCGCATCAGGATTTACACCACTATCATCCAACAACGGGTCGTCTTCACAAGCTCACACTTCTTCGACGTACAGTCTGACGAGTAAACAATACTCATCCATAGCGGTACGTTCATTTCTATTTCTCCATGCGTCCATTGATTTGATTTGTTTCGTTTTTATTTTTATTTGTTTTTTTCTTTGCTTAATGTTTATTTTTTTCGTTTGCTCCTTCACATTCAAAAACAGCGCGATTATGGGAACATTCGTAATCAGCAAGGAAGTGAGGGATAGGGGAGCGATGCAGAATCGGAAAATGGTGTGGAGAGATATTACAGGATGTCCCATAAAGATCACATAGCTTTTTCCAGTAATAACTCTATAAAAATAAATTCCCCCAGAACGATTACACCCAATCTTCAATCAAACATTTATATATTACAATCAATAACATTGTTCGATATACCCCCCCCCCCCCTCTGTCGTTCTGAGTATAGCGACGATAGGATGGTCCAGCACGCTGAAAACGACCCATTAGTTGGGGCTCCTAGCCCCATACAGTTTTCTTTCTTTGTGTGGGATACCATCCTATTGGATTTTCAGTTACTTTGAATACGATTTCACTGGGCTGCTTATCATCTTCCGAGGTGTTCCGTTCCAAAATTGCACGGAAAAGGCTTCAACTACATTATGTTGGTTAATTGTTCACAGCAGTCCCCTTCCTGAGACGGCCCAGATGGGGTGGTCCAGCACGTCAAAGGAGGGATGCCGGGCTGTTAGTTGAAGGGCCTGAAATCGGGCAGTGTGGCGCGATAATATCCTTGAACATTTTCGCTTTCTGTGCGGGGCGCTATCCTATCAAAACAGTATCATTTCTTTTGGTGTGGCTAGTGACCTTCGTATAAGACACTGCTCTGAAACGTCCGTTAGCTTGGTCTTAATAAGTTTTGTTCTTTTTCCAACAGACACGGCCATGTGAGCGACGGGTAATTGAGATCTCAGCCCAGGCTTTGACAGGAACGGGCTAGTGCTCGCAGAGAACAGTTCTTCTAACTTCATTGATATCCATAAGTCTTTAATTGGGCACCCTCGAAGTTTGACGATTGTAGCTCCGCTTCACGGTGAAAATTTCACTCCATACGGTGCTCATGTGGTTACTTTGCCCGCCTCTTTCCACCACTTTATGCCTCTGCTATGCCTTTGTGCTTCGGTGAAGCCGTGGCCCTTTGCGCAGCATGTAATGGTCCATGTATAGGTTGTTATCTCACCACATTTCACATGGTTGCGCCCAGTAACTTCAGCGCTCTGGTAACCGTTCTTATCTGCATCCTTGTTGTCGCTTTTTCATAGTTTTCTCTGAGATTCAAGTGGGCAGAAAATCTTTTTTTTTGGGATCTAGTCTGTTTGATCTCCCTTTCCGCGCACAGTAGGTCACGAAGCGGTCAAGATTCTAAAAGCAATATTCGCCCACACTGTGTGAGAAAATATCAGTTTCTCTGTTGAGGTTTAGCCACGCCATGAGCTGCAAAACGAGCGGTAATCCGTGAGGTCCTGTCAGATTGTTGACATGAAGTTGGACTGTTATTATGCCAACAAAGGCCTAATTCCGGTGGAAGTTTTGTCGGACATCATGCAGATAAGCGTAAGTGCGTGATGACTGTGTTATAATTCAACCATGGTCAATGATACCTTGCTCACATATTTAGACGATCCCTTGGTCAGCATGGCGGTTAGCCTTGGGTGTGTTCCACTTCTTTACCATCACTCTCGCTCTTGGGACTTGTTTGTCCAATGCACGGCCAATTTGGGATCATACTCGTTGCGTATAGCATGCCAAAGACTCTGTCTAACGCAAAGGAGGGCCGGCCAGGTGGCCGTTTCGTTCTTACGCAGATACCACTGCACAGTCGCCTAGCCCCATCACCCGTCATTTTTACTCACCACTGCCCAGCAACTCCTTTGCTTCATCCTTGGCGCAGCTCTATCAATGGATATTCGACACCCACCTCGAGGCTCGTACACCGCTGTGAATTAGGAACCCCATGTACAGAATGATAGTTACGTGAGTATCAGTGAAAGTGATGCATGAAGGGTTACATTCATGATTCGCGTCGAAGGACCATAATATATGAAAAGTAGCAGCTAATAAGCGTATCAAAAGTAAAGCAGCAGCAAAAATGTAGTTTTCATCGAGGTATAACGTAAAGGCTGTTTCTGGAAACAAAAGCATGGTTTTCTTTGAAACAATGGAACTCACGTCGAATGTTTTTTTTTTATCTTCTGTGAGCATCATCCGTTTCCAGTGCTTCCAAATTAAGTCAGGTGGGGCGGGGGGGGATTTAGCGAAAGAACGAAATACGTCTTGAATACCGCATGCGCAATGGCTTTAGTAATGTGTTGATATTGAACATCAATGGCGGAACATTGTTTCGATGACGCTACTGTTCTGGCCCGTAACGAGTAACTGACGTGCACTATTTTCCGACATATTCGTGAAGGACTGACCAAGAGTTACCCCTTATTGGTAGAGGTTTCATTTAAAAATTGTGATTAGGCAGCTACTGTGAACTTTTTATTTCACTTATTGTGCGCTGAATTAGTTGACCAAAAACCCCAATATTATAACGTTTTCCCCTCTTCCTTTTTTTTCTTTGTTTTTTATTTCTTGACTGACGTCTCGGCCAGTAGACTGTGATACCTCTACACTCGGTGCATCAGTCCAGTGACGATGTTCAGAGCCTTGAAATTCAGTTTTCTTTTCGATCGTCAAAGGTATCTTGCTAAACAATGAGTGAGTGCAAGGGGCATTCCGACCTAATGAGGTATCCCAATGACGTCATGGCTGTGACTTATCATTCCCCATCTACTGTGCGTAATAGTTCGAGTATAAGTGCACTTCTCTGCTAAAACCCTTTCGAACAGTTTGTTGTGGTGAGTGTGTGACTTTTTATCCATTTCACTTTTTTTCAAAAACAGCAGAATTTTTTATTTTTCTTGATAGATTTTTAAATTGAAGTGTCAAAAGCAGAGGAAATACTCGATGTTGGACATATCTGAAAATTTGCCAAAAACGTATAGATCTGGTATGCTCTCACCTTGCAATCGGTGCTAGCCAGTAACTAGTGCTTATACATACCGCTTTTGGCAACGTTCTTGGGATACTCGTGAGAAGCGAGTGACCTAGTTTGCTCTCTTATGATTTTCTTTGGTAAAACTGCTGCTGTCATGGTTATTCAAAAAATAAATCTGATTCACCTTAAAGTCAGCAGGAAGATTGGTGACTCATTTCTAGTCCCAATGTTATGCTTAATGTCAAATCAGTGGTGAATCGTTGCTTCACTGCATTACAACACCAATTACGCGGAACAAAATTAAACATGTGTAATCCATAGTGGTCGTCTATCTTCTAGTTTGTAATAGTCTTTGACTGATAACGTTACGAGAGAGCCACTACAGAGGTGGCTCCAGATAGCGAAAATGAATATGGACGTTGCGAATAGCAGTGAATGGCTTGGTCCGCGTACTTTGTTATTTTTATGCTTTTTCACCCACAATTTAATATTTGTTTTGCCATTTTTCTACTGTATATCGATGTTTTGGTTATGATTTACTTCGCTCTTTCAGGTTCCTTCACCAATTGTGCCTTTTACTAATCCTTCGTCCACGACGTCTCCTGCCTCCAAGCGACCTTGTTTCTCACCTCCTGAAGAATCTTCATCAAGAGAAATTCAAGTGAAGAGAGGTTCCCCTAATAACGAGAGCAGTTCATCAAGATCAAATCAGCCATCCACGTCTGGTAAGTGAATGAAATTATGTATTCTTTCCGCCAGACGCCGTACTATTGAAACTTTGATGAAACTGCACCGCCTTTGTGTCTCAAGGCAATGGTAAGTTTCACAAGATTGAAATGTGCATCAGAAACTTGAAATTCGCTCTTTCACCTCGATACGATAATTTCTGTGCTGGTAAGTCGGCTAGAAGTGTTGAGGCGTTTTAGTTTTCTGGTGGTGTTGAACGACAAGTATTCATTTTATTGGCAGTTAAACTTTGTGCCGCCTGTTACCTCTCTGTTCAATTTGTATAACTTCGTATAATGTATGCTATATATGTGAGCGAAATCTGTTGGTAGTCATCAGAACACTCAAACTTCAAGAAGAGCGATACGCTCTGAGTAAAACTCCACCTACCTTAGTTTTGGTGGCATGCGGGGGGGAACTGCTGTATTTGATCATGATCGCAGCCTAGTATCTGGTGTAACCTCGCATAGAAACCGCATATCTTCGGACAGGTTTAGCGTGAGAATTTATGTCATAATATTTTCTCGTTCAGGGATCGATCATTCGCGTTACAAGTACCCGTTGCCTTGCCCTAAAACTAGCGTGGTCCATCTTTTCCCCGTCGAGCAGTCCAAGGAAAGCTGCGCTTTCGTTTGAGTAGATTAAAAGCATCACGTTTCTCCGTGCATGAGAGCCTTTCAAGGTGAATGTTGTGTTGTGAATATTCGCTCGGGCTGCTGCTTTGTAGAGGGGGATCAACTGATTCTTTCTGTAAAGCTTTTACGAAGCTCACAAACTTTGTACGTTGAGTAGGGTTGTCTTCAGTAACGTCTGGAGATTGGTGACGCTTCTATTTGACCCGAGTCCAAAAGGCTAATTCAAGACGATGAATATGCTATGTGGTGGTTTCTTGTATGAAATAGCGTGTTTCTAATCAGCCTTATAAGTTTGTGGCTGTAATTGGCTAGATGGGTTGGTTTTCCTGCCAGCATTGCTATATTTAGTCTGACGCCTGCTGATCCCCTAAATGGATATTCACGGGAAAGAGTTGTGGAAGCAGACTGTGGACAAGTCAGTAACCCAGGGTCAACCGTGACGTTAGCACATTTTCAGAAATTTTGCGACTTCCCCCCCCCTTTAGGGGCATTGGACTCCGCCACTCCTCGAGACTCGGTAAGACTTCCCCCAATGCGACCACCTCTCCCTACCCCGACCACCACCCTCGCCGTTATGTCTATTTCTATAGTATTTCATTCTGAGATCAGTCTACACAGCCTTAATCCCACTCATCCCACTCAACCATGCAACCCGTCTCTTCCCAAACAACAAATGCGACCCCCTCGTTCGAACAGTGCGAACGCACCGTTGACCCCGCAGTAACTGTCAATATCATGCGGGTCTAGAATTTTCGCAACTTCAGCATCATTGCTCAAAAGTAGAGGCTCGATGATATCGGGTTTTGCACGATTCTGCACCACTATGATAGCTGCTGTGTGGTACTTACTCTGAGTAGCTGAAATCTCATATGGCGTAATAAGTTGAATTTTGTCGTTGACAGTTGCGAAGCTGATCGTAGGTGGCCTTCTCAAATGCTCATCGTGAGGAGGGGCAATGACTGTGAGTTCAGTGGCCGCTTCATTTGGAAATGAACACTTTTTGTCTTGTTTTTGTTTGTTAACTGCTGTTTTTGGCCGCAGTTCGCCTTGCGAATGTTTCACAAGAATGCTGGGTTGTGAACAAAACTTTCGCCCCAGGCGGGACTAGAACCCGCACCTCTCGCTTTCCGGGCAAGTGCGCTACCAGTTACGCTACCGGGGCACCATTTCATTCCAACTCAGCTTTTCATGGTATACTTACCATAGCTTGTCAGCACTCACGCGTATTTGTGTTGTCTTGAGGATTTTTCAGTGGGTTAGGATACCCTTGTTGACCTGGATTTTTGTTCGAGATCTATTTCAGTTATGACTGAGTAGCTTCATAAGCTCAAGCGAAGAATTTGCAGTGCCTGTGATACATGCAATCGCCGTATCAGCTTGAAATTTTCCGAGAGTAGAGATTTCTTGGCAATTACTGGACTTTCTTTTTTCTTGTGTTCTTGGCAGCTTCAAAATGGTGAGTCACATAGTTGGGCTTTGTTCACAGGGTAAAAATTAATGGCGTACTCAATGGGAATCCGGGTTCATTGGCGAAATTTTGATTGTTTACCCCACGTTGTGGTCTCAAGAACGGCCGTGAAGATGTAAGGGTGTATCACATAAAATTCTAAGGCAATGTTCCGATCACATAGCTAGCTATCGTTATTGTATGGTGTAAGCATATGACGATGGGAAAGTCACACCACGCGCATTCTATCACGCAGCACCGTGTGCCAACACATTGCGCATGATGTGAATTTCTTCGTTTGTAATGTAGTGTTCATAATATAGCCCCCAAGGGCCTTCCATGTGGGCAGTTATACGGTCTACCATTTTTGATTGGGTGTCAGTCGTTTCTTTTGGTGAAGATGCAAAGCTTCTGAATTGATTTCTTGTTTATTGTCTCTCGTATGTGTTGGAAAATCCAAAAGGTTAGAAAAAAAGGACTCAAGTTTTTGTTTTCTGGTCCTTTTCCAGTTCGAGTCCATTGACGCTGCTATAGACAGTTTTTTTCTTCAAATTTCATGAAATATAGTGAGCTGAGCGTAGATGGTGTAATGGCAGGTGGCGCGCTTACCACGCTCAGCGGTATGGTGTTCAAGTCTCAGGTCGTGAGTCGCCGAGGCCAACCAAGCCTTCCATTCCTCCGGGGTCGGGTGCTTGGTACCCAAATTGTTCAGGGAGGATGAAAATACCGATTTGTAGATCAATTGGCACCTTGTATTTAATTGTGGAGGCCCGGTGTCGAGTCGACTCAAACGTCCCCGCGATTCTTATGGAATTTGAATGCGTGGCGCATTCAAAGGAGGTATTGGTGATTCATGGATGCTATCCTCCACTTCTCTCTTCTTGCAACCTCCGCAAGTTAGTCGTGAGTTGCTCTCTTGTGCTTTACGAAGTTGTTAGGTGAGAACATCCATTAAATGACCTAACGTTTCGACTGAGTCGTCGTCTTCAGAAGCCCTGAACGTGTTTCATTTTTTAGACGTACGCCAAGCACCTCATCATCTTTAGCAGTTCCCACATCGTGTCAGAAATTTTTCGAGAAATCGTACTAGTGCGAGAAAC